AAACCATAAAAAACAAAATGAGTTGGAAAAAAAAATGCAATTAAACTTAAAAACTTACCCTTGTGTGTACTGTGACTACACAACAGTTGCAAACAGAAGCTTGCAAAACCACATCTATACTCAGCATAAAAAACAAAATGAGTTGGAACAGAAAGTGGAAATAAACTTAAAAATTTACTCCTGTATGTACTGTGACTTTACAGCACTAAATAGCAGTAATTTACAAAGGCACCTTAATAGTAAACATAAAGAACAATATGACTTGGAAAATAATTCAAAAATTCAAGCTTATAAACAAAAAAAACGAAATGATCCAGAAAAAAAGTAACAATTAAAATAAAAAGACCATACAAACCAAAGCTTCAGTATTTTTAAACACACATCCACAATAACATAAAAAGTTCCAGATAATAATCAATTAATAATCCTATCCTACTTAATTTAAAAATACATTAGTTATTTGTTATTATTTGGTCACATTTTATTACATAAATGTTTTATTTGTAAATTTTAAATTAAAATAAAATAGAATAAAGTTGAATTGTTTTTTTTAATTTTATTCCCATTATTTTTATTAGTTATTAATATTTTTACTTTCTTATATATTTTTTGCAACGTACACGTCATCAATCAGTTGATTGGGCAGAGTTGTCAATGTGATGCTAAAATTGCATTGCATAAAGTAAAAGTGGTAGTGCAACTACAGGGCGATAGATGGCGTTTACATGAATAATACCATAGGGTCCCTAGATTTGGGACCTTAGAATACCAAAATGTCAAAAGTCAGAGTTTATATAACCTATATGATGCACCGCCAAAAGTATGTTTTTAGCCATTTTTAAAGACATGTTCAGCTATAAAACCCAGAAATTTTGCCATAAAAAGTCAGTCTCTGGTATATATATTCTTATTTTATGTATCCAACATATATTTTGTTAAATATTCTAATATATAATTAATAATAATCCTATTTACCTCTTTACCAGCTGTTAAAGGTAACAAAGTTCTAGCAATTTCTTACTGTATTTAGTTTGTAAATAAAATATTTCAGAATTAATTTAATTCACTTTTTCGTCATTCGACTGTATAAAAAAGACATTGTTAAAATGTTTAAAAATGTTCCATATAAATGATAATTTATTTTGTAAAATTATTAACAATAAATGAAATGATAAATATATTAGGTTTTATTTTTATTACAAGTTGTATAATAAAGATGTTGGTATTTATTTATCCCTTTTAAATATAATTTATGTTTTGTTTCAGTAAAAAATTAATGTTTGGATTACGATATAATCCAACACATTATAAAAGATCATGAACATTAAACTACTAATCATCCAAAAATAAAGTCACATTTACAGCATAAAAACATAAAAAACAAAATGGGTTGGAAGTTAAAACTTACTCTTGGGTGTACTGTTACTTTAGAACCAATGAAAATACTAGTTTACAAAGCCATGTCTATTTCAAACTTAATGAGTTAGAAAATAAAGTAGAAATAAAACCTTACTTTTGCGTGTACTACACGTGTGACTACACAACATTAAAAAGCCAATATTTACAAAGGGATGCTGATAACAAATATTTAAAAAAAAATTCAGCAAATAAAGTGGACATAAAATATCTGTACTGTGACTTCATAACAATGAAAAATCCCTTCTATGTAAATATTGTAATTAAAAAAAATATTTTCTTGTTCAATAATTTTCTTAAAAATACAGTGTTTAGTAAAAATGAAATTGCAGTTGTAAAAATGGACAAAAATATATATTTTGTTAGTTTTAAGATTTTTTTATAACATCTTTACTAATTGAAACTATTTTTAGGAGATGGATACAACATTTTAAAAAAACCTGAGTGAATGTTAGAGAGTGTACACGTAATAAGATCCTTAAAAATAAATCAAATGAAAACCAAAAAATCATATTCGATCAAATCTACGTTTTTTTTAGTTCACTTTCTAAACACTTTAATTCAATACACATCATTAGGTGTACTATTTTAAAAACAAACTAAAATAACCCATAGTTTATACATTACTGACATTAAAATAAGAAAATTTAAAATATATTTTTATAATACATATACATTGTAGAAATACTGTAATAAATAATAAAAATAAATAAACAAATTTGGTTTTATTATTATTAAAAAAATTCTGCTGAATGTCTTATAAAATAGTGGATAAAACCGGCAAAAATACGAAGAAAAATTTTGATAAAAAAGAAACTTGAGTACGACATGTTTATGTTTCTTAATAAATTCCATCATCTAATACATTTTCCCGAATAAAACATGAGACAGTGTATACAAAAGACATTCTAGTTTTTTGTTAATTTAGTTATTTTTCTAAAATATACTAACAATTAATTTTGTTTCAGTAAAACATCAATCATATGTGGATACAGTGAATGTTTATTCTCAGGACCAGAATACGAAGTAACCCAACACAAAATTACAGACCATGGACATAAGACAACAAATAAAAATAAAAAATCTTGTGTGTACTGTGACTTTACAACAGTGAAGAATGCCAGCCTACAATTACATGTATACAACAAACATAGAGAACAAAATAAGTTGGAGAAAAAAATAAAATTAAACATGAAAACTTGCGTGTACTGTGACTACACAACAGTTGTAAACCATAAGTTGCAAATCCACATCTTCAGAATGCATAAGAAACAAAATGAGTTGGAAAAAAAAGTACAGTTAAACAGAAAAACTTGTATGTACTGCGATTTAACAGTAATAAAAACCTGCGATTTACGAAGGCACCTTTACTCTAAACATAAAGAGCAATATGAGTTGGAAAATAAAGTAAAATTAAATGTAAATACTCGTGCTTGTTTATACTGTGACTTCACAACAGTAGACACGCATAAGCTACAATACCACATCTATAACAAACATAAAGAACAATATAATTTAGACAAACAAAGTACCAATAAAAATAAAAAAGACTTAAACATAAAAATTAAATCTTGTATGTACTGTGACTATACAACCCTCCAAAAATATTCGTTAAACAGACACATCCATATTAAACATAAAGAACAAAATGACAAACTGACAATAAATTTAAAAAGGTACGTTTGTGTGTACTGTGACTACTCAACAGGTGCAAACACAACCTTGCACAACCACATCTATACTAAGCATAAAGAACAAAATGAGTTGGAGAAAAAAGTAAAAATAAACATACAAACTTACTCTTGTATGTACTGTGACTTTACAGTTCTAACTCGCAGTCACTTAAAAATCCACCTTTACCGTAAACATAAAGAACAATATGAGTTGGGAAAAAAGTAAAATTTAATTCATTTAAATCATAAAAAACAAAATTGAATTAAACATAAAAACTTACCCTTGTGTGTACTGTGACTACACAACAGTTGCAAACAAAACCTTGCAAAACCACATCTATACTAAGCATAAAAAACAAAATGAGTTGGAACAGAAAGTAGAAATAAACATAAAAACTTACTCTTGTATGTACTGTGACTTTACAGTAATAAATAGCAGTAATTTACAAAGGCACCTTTATAATAAATATAAAGAACAATATGACTTGGAAAATAATGCAAAAATTCAAGCTTGTGACTACACAACAGTGGAAAAACCTACAAAGCCACATCTATAGCAAACAAAAAGTACATAATGATTTAGACATACAACATTAAAGTATTTTTATACCCACCAGATAATAATTAATTACCAATATTTTTTAGAAACTCTTTACTTAATTTAAAAATATATTGGTTATTTGTATATTTATTTTGAATAAAAAACTTAGAATACAGTTTAATTGTTTTTTTCTTAAATTTTATTTCCATAATTTTTATTAGTTAATAATAATAATAATAATTTTTCTACTCCAATTACTTAATTGGAGTAGAAAATAGTATTACACTCGAAATAATGCGCATTATTTACTCGTCCTTGTGAATAATAGCCTGCATTATCTCTCGTATAATAATATACCATACATTATGTTTTGCAACGCAATTACTTGTCAATTTAACATGAAATTAACCAAAAAACTGTTTAATTTTTTTTTGAAATATTCAATTATGTCCCAGAAATATTCAAAAATTAAAATATAGTTTCTTTAAAAAGTTTTGATTAGTCAAATCATCTTATGTATTATGTATTATTAACAATACATACAATATTAGGTTTTATTTTTATTACAAATTGTATAGTAAATAAATTGGTTCTAGTTTGTCTATTTTTAAAATAATTTCTGTTATGTTTTAGTAACAAATCAACCATATGTGGATACAGCGAATGTTTTTTCTCAGGACCAGACTACGAAGTAACACAACACATGGTAAAAGATCATAAACAAAAACCAACTAATCATCAAAATCATCAGAATATAAAACCTTTCCCCTGTGTGTACTGTGACTACACAACAATGGAAAACCGGTTGTTACAAAAACACATCTATCGAAAACATAAAGAACAAAATAATTTAGAAAATAAAGTAGCAATAAAAGTAAAAATATACTCTTGCGTGTACTGTGACTTTACAACAGTAGAAAACTGGTTGTTGCGAAACCACGTTTACAGGAAACACAGAGAACAAAATGATCTGGAAAATAAGGTTACAATAAAAACGCTCCCTTGTATGTATTGTGAATACTCCACAACTATAAACCAAACATTGCAAAGGCACATCTATAGAAAACATAAAAAACAAAATGAAAGTGTCAAATAAAATAAATTTACTTTGGTAGGTACTGTGACTTCAGTAAAAATTTGATAAACAGGCGTCTATTTTTCCAAGTTATGTTTTTATCAGCGTTTAAATCTTGCCAGAATTACTTTAATTGAAATGTTGAAAAGAGTAATGTTATTGTATTATGACAACTTGTTAACAATACATTAAATGATAAATATATTTAGTTTTATTTTAATTTTAATCACAGTTTTCATAGTAAAGATTTTAGTACTGATTTAACCCTTTTTAATACAATTTTTGTTTTGTTTTAGTAAAAAATTAAACATGTGTGGGTACAGCCAATGTTCTTTCTTAGGATCGGATTACGATATAATCCAACACATGATAAAAGATCATGAAGAAAAAACAATTAATCACCCAAAAAGAAAAACTTTTTCTTGTCCGTACTGTGACGTCACAACAGTGAAATCCCGTAATTTGCAAATGCACATTCACAACAAACACAAGGAACAAAATGAATTGGAAAACAAAGTACCAATACAAATAAAAACTTACTATTGCGTGTACTGTAACTACACAACATTGGTAAGCCAAGGTTTACAAATGCATATTTATAACAAACATAAGGAAGAAAATGAGTTGAAAAAGAAAGTAGCCATAACAATAAAAACTTTCTCCTGTATGTACTGTGACTTTACAGCAGTGGCAAACCGAACTCTACAAAGTCACATTTACAGCAAACATAAAGAACAAAATGGGTTGGAAGTACAAACTTACTCTTGTGTGTACTGTAACTTTACAACCAATAAAAATACTACTCTACAAAGCCACGTTTATGCCAGACATAAACAACTTAATGAGTTAGAAAATAAAGTAGAAATAAAAATAAAACCTTACTTTTGCGTGTACTGTGACTACACAACTCTTAAAAGCCAATATTTACAACTTCACATTGATAAGAAACATAAAGAAAAAAAGGGCTCAGTAGACATAAAATGTCTGTACTGTGACTTCATTACAATGGAAAATCAGTTGTTACAAAACCACACCTATGACAAACATAGAGAACAAAGTGAATTAGAAAATAAGGTATAAAAAACAACAACATGCGATAAGAAAACATTACAAAGGCACAAGATTTCAAAACGTAAAAAACGAAATATTATGCTGAAAAAACAAAACAAAACTCACCCTTGTATGTACTGTAGATATGCAATATATTGTAATCAAGGATTGCAAAAACACATATTTTTGTGCCATAAAGAACAAAATGAGTTGGAACAAAAAGTTAAAATAACCATTAAAACCTACTCTTGTGATAACTGTTACTACCATACCTTGCAAAAAGGAGCTTTTGACAAGCATAAATGTAAGAAAACAAAATAGTCACAGAATTTTAATAATGTGAACTTTAAAACGAAATAATATTAGAGAAGATAATTTTAGGTCCTTTAACAATTGTAGTTAAATATGGTTTTGACCACTGTGGACCTCATCAGTGTCAGGTAGCCATGTGGTGTTGAACCCGTCTCAAACAAACTGTTTTTTAGTGTAAGTTGTGAAGTCACTTACCGATTTTCTTAGATTTAGGAATTTGTAATTGGGTTATTAATAATTTATCAAACCTGTAACGTATGTTAGTAAGTACAAGTAATATCTTACTGTATAATCTATATATGAAGATTATTTAAACTATCAATGTAACTAATTTGAATATTTTGTATGTACATTATCACTAGAATTAAAATTTTATACACACCTTTAAGTAATACATTAATTTCAGCCTTATTTTTTAAGCACATTTTCCTATTCAACTTGTTATGGTTAACAATTAATTCGTTTGCACATAACTTTCTCAAAACATATCCTATTCCAACAAAGTGGTGTCATAAAAACTACAGTTTTAAGTTTGTAACTTAACATAATGAGATGTAGTGACTTTAGCTCAAATTTGTTAGTGTCACAAATAGAAAGACAGTTTTAGTCCGAGTTATATACCTAGATGAGGAAATATTATTATTATAGTCACAGTACACACAAGGGTAATATTTTATGAACCTCCAATGGTATATTGTGCGGCTAGTATTAACAGTATTTGAAGGCAAAAATATAACCGTATATTTATAAAAGTGTATTATTATTTTTAATATAAATCAAAAAAGTCTACTGTTTTTAAGAAGTTTTTATTTAACAGAACACGAAAAATGTATTTTGTAACAATAAAAAATACAATAAATCACTTTAGTTTCATTTTTATTGCTAAGATTTAATTTTGTCCTTAATAACCAATTTAACCCTTAATAACCAATCGATATAAAATTTTAAAATAGAATTTTTCTTTGTTACAGCAAAAAATCATCGAAACGCAGATACAAAAAATGTAAAGAGACCAAGATAAAAGACAATACATATAAACAAAATAATGAAAATCAAACAAAAACCAAAAGACACCCTTGTGTGTACTGTGACTTTAGAACAATGACGACCCGAAATTTACGAAATCACGTCTATAGCCACCATAAGGAACAAAATGAGTTAGAAAAAAAAGTGGCATTAAAAGTAAAAACCTTCTCCTGCGTATACTGCAACTTCACAACAAAGCAGAATCGAAATTTACAACACCACATCTATGGCAAACATAGAGAACAAAATAATTTGGAAAATAAAGTGGAAATAAGAGTAAAAACTTACTCGTGTGTGTACTGTGACTACACAACAAAAGAAAACCGTAATTTACACAACCACATCTTTACCAAACATAAAGAACAAAATGAGTTAGAAAACAAAGTAGCTTTAAAGATAAAAACTTTCTCTTGTGTATTCTGTGACTTTACTACAGTGGGAAACCTAAAGCTACAAAACCACATCTACAAAAAACATAAAGAAGAAAATTAGACACAAAATAAAGTTATGTTATGGTTTTAGAAATAATATACTTTTTGCACTATAATGTAGTTTTATTATTATTCAGTGGTGCCAATCAAAAAGCAAAATATTATGTACAAAACATGTGCTAGTTTATTTAGATTGTACTATTGTGAATCAGCATTTTTAAATGCTTTTTTAAATGGGTAGTGCTACCTACCATTGTGAATCATTTTTTGGTATCATACTTAATTTAACATCATTTTAAAAGTGCCAATTTATTAGTATGTTACCAGTGAAAATCAGCATTTTAAATGCTTCAAAATAGCGCGTCATTTGACTTTATTAGTGGTGTAAGTTTATCTTGGTTTACAATTTTGAACCAGCCTCTTAACTACCATTTTAGTTATTTGTTATGTAATTTTAAATACTACAAGTATTAGTTTATTTAAGTGTTGCCATATTGAATCAGCATTAAATGTTAAATTTTTTGATGTCTTAAAATGTATAATTTGTTATTTATGGTGTTTACCATTGTGAATCAGCGATTTAAAATGCTTATGTGGGCTTTCTTTAACGGTTTTTTTTCAATTTGTAGTTTTTTATAAGTGAATGTGCTAGTTTATTTGGATTGTACTATTGTGAATCAGCATTTTTAAATTCTTTTTTTTAATGGATAGTGCTACTTACCATTGTGAATTATTTTTTGGTATCATACTTAATTTAACACCATTTTAAAAGTGCCAATTTATTAGTGTATTACCAGTGGAAATCAGCATTTTTTAAATGCTTCAAAATAGCGCGTCATTTGACTTTATTAGGGTTGTAAGTTTATTTAGGTTTACAATTTTGAAACAGCTTCTTAGTTATGTCTAATTTTAAATACTGTAGGTAATAGTTCATTTAAGTGTTACCATATTGAATCAGCATTTATAAATGTAATGTAATATTGTAATGCTTTATTTTTTAAGGTCCTAACATTAGTGTTTAAATTGGTGAAGTGTTATTTATGGTGTTTACCATTGTGAATCAGCGTTTTAAAATGCTTATTGTACGCCTTCTTTAAGGATTTTTTATCATATGTATTTTTATTAACAGAATGTGCTAGTTTATTTGGATTGTACTGTTGTGAATCAGCATTTTTAAATGCTTTTTTAAAATGGGTAGTGCTAGTTACCATTGTCTTAATGTCTAATTTTAAATACTACAAGTATTAGTTTATTTAAGTATTACCATATTGAATCAGCATTTAAATATGTTTCAGAATATTTTAATGCGCCTTTTTTAGAGTCTTAACATTAGTATTTAAATTGGTAAATTGTTATTTATGGTGTTAACCATTATGAATCAGCGATTTAAAATGCTTATGTGCGCCTTCTTTAACGGTTTTTTTTCAATATGTAGTTTTTTATAAGTGAATGTGCTGGTTTATTTGGATTGTACTATTGTGAATCAGCATTTTTAAATGCTTTTTAAATGGGTAGTGTTACCTACCAGTTTGAATCATTTTTTGGTTTGGTGTCATACTTAATTTAACATAATTTTAAAAGTGCCAATTTATTAGTATATTACCAGTGAAAATCAGCATTTTAAATGCTTCAAAATAGCGCGTCATTTGACTTTTTATTAGTGGTGTAAGTTTATCTTGGTTTACAATTTTGAACCAGCCTCTTAACTACCATTTTATTTATTTGTTATGTCTTAATGTCTTATTTTAAATACTACAAGTATTAGTTTATTTAAGTGTTACCATATTGAATCAGCATTTATAAATGTTTCAGAATATTGTAATGTTTTATTTTTTAAGGTACTAAAATTAGTGTTTAAATTGGTGAAGTGTTATTTATGGTGTTTACCATTGTGAATCAGCGTTTTAAAATGCTTATTGTAAGCCTTCTTTAACGGATTTTTTTATCAATATGTATTTTTTTTAACAGAATGTGCTAGTTTATTTGGATTGTACTATTGTGAATCAGCATTATTAAATTCTTTTTTTTTTAATGGATAGTGCTCCTTACCATTCTGAATTATTTTTTGGTATCATACTTAATTTTACACCATTTAAAAAATGCCAGGTTATTAGTATGTTACCAGTGGAAATCAGCATTTTTTAAATGCTTCAAAATAGAGCGTCATTTGACTTTATTAGTGGTGTAAGTTTATCTAGGTTTACAATTTTGAACCAGCCTCTTAACCACCATTTTAGTTATTTGTTATGTCTAATGTTAATTACTGTAAGTATTAGTTCATTTAAGTGTTACCAAATTGAATCAGCATTTTAAAATGCTTATGTGCGCCTTCTTTAACGTTTTTTTTTCAATAGGTAGTTTTTTAAGTGTATGGGCCAGTTTATTTGGATTGTACTGTTGTGAATCAGCATTTTTACGAAAATGATTTTTTTAAATGGGTAGTGCTAGTTACCATTGTGAATAATTTTTTGGTATCATACTTAATTTTACACAATTTTAAAAGTGCCAATTTATTAGTACGTTAACAGTGAAAATCAGCATTTTTAAATGCTTCAAAATAGCGAGCTATTTAACATTTTTAGGGATTTTAATATTGGGTTCGTTTATTTCCAAATTATCAGTAAAAATTAGCATTTTAGAAATAGCATTTTCAAATGCTTTTGTATGCAATTTTTAATTCCTAATTTTACTATTTTAATATACACGTATGTTTTAGTTTAGGTGCAACTCCATTTATATTCTAGAAAAAAAGGATTAACAAAGCATTTTAGAAAAATAAGTAGTGTTTTTAATAGTGCAAGTCACATTTACGAATCAGCATTTTTAAAGCATTTGCTTAGAATTTTGTATGCTTAATTTCTCGACATTTTGTAAATGCAAATTTATTATTGGATTACCATGGCGAATCAGCTTTTTCAAAGTCTTTCTAATAGAAATATAAATAGCTTTATTGCTTTAATTTGTTTATATAATAAATAACACTTTAGGAAAGAATCATTACATAACATATAACCTGATTCGCGTGGAATTAATACTTTACATGATAAAGGGTCAGTCAAAGGTCAAGGGTCAAAGGTCAAAAGTCAAAGGTAAAAAGTAAAAATGGTTTATCAGGAAAATGGCAATATATATTTTGTTGGTGTTACTATCTTACTAACTGAAACTATTTTTAGAAGATGATGAATTAATTAAATAAACACAAAATATGTCAAAATCAAACTAAAATAACCTGGATAAAAATGACATTTAAAAAAAATAACAAGTTTGATTTTATTGCAATTAAAAAATACAGTGTGTAACCGGATTAAACCGGCAAAATAAAAAAGTATACAGTATATATTATTTTTAAATTATTTATCTTTATTGAAAATACAAATTTTTGTGTATTTTAAATAATTTCCAAAAAGAAATAATAAAAGTTTTTTAAAAAATAAATACATTTAATTTTATATGAACTATTCTTTTTTAAGACATACATTGTTTTTGTTAATATAGTTATTTTGTTAGAATATACCAACAATTTTTTTTTTCAGTGAAACACCAACCATGCACATATGTGGATACAGCGAATGTTTTTTCTCAGGACCAGAACACGAAGTAACCCAACACAGGATCAACGACCATGGAAATAAGCCATCTAATAAAAATAAAAGATTCTCTTGTGTGTACTGTGACTTTACAGCAGTCAATAGTCATAAGATACAGTACCACATCTATAGAAAACATAAAGAACAAAATGACTTAGAGAAAAAAATGGAATTAAACATAAAAACTTTCCATTGCGTGTACTGTGACTTTACAGCTCTGGATAATCATGAAATGCAAATCCACATCTATAGAAAACATAAAGAAAAAAATGAATTGGAGAAAAAAGTAGAAATAAACATAAAAACTTATTCTTGTATGTACTGTGACTTTACGGTAATAAATAACAGTCATTTGCGAAGGCACCTTTACTTTAAACATAAAGAAAAATATGAGGCGGAAAATAAGTTAGAATTAAACATTAAAATTTTATCTTGTGTGTACTGTGACTTTACAACAGAAAAAAGATATGTTTTACACAATCACATTTATATGAAACATAAAGAACAAAATGATTTGGAAAAAAGAGTGAAATTAAAAATAAAAACTCACACTTGTGTGAAATGTGACTACACAACATTGGTAAAAGACCATCTACAAAAACACATGTCTGGGAAACATAAAAAACAAAATGAGGAAAAAGAAGTTAAGATAACATATATACAAGACCACATTAACAGGGAAAATAAAGAACAAAATGACTTACAAAAAATAAACTCTTGTGTGTACTGTGACTTTAAAACAATAAATAAAGGTAATATACGAAGACACATTTACCACAAACATAAAAAACAATATGAGTTGGAAAATAAAGTAAAATTAAATGTAAAAACTCACGCTTGTGTGTACTGTGACTATGCACCAGAAAAGAAAAGTGTTTTACACCATCACATTTATGTCAAACATAAAGAACAAAATGAGTTGGAGCAAAAAGTTAAATTGGATATAAAAGCTTGTGTGTACTGTGACTTCACAACAATGGAAAGTTATAAGCTAAAATGCCACATCTACAGCAAACATAAAGAACAAAACGAGCTTGAAAGAAAAGTATCAATAAAAATAAAAACTTACTCGTGTGTGTACTGTGACTTCACAACAGAGAAAAGATATGGTTTACACAACCACATTTATATGAAACACAAAGAACAAAATGATTTGGAAAAAAAGGTGGAAATAAACAAAAAAATTCACTCCTGTGTGTACTGTGACTTTACAACAGTAGAGAAGCGCACTTTGAAAAAACACGTTCTTGGCAAACATAAAAAACAAGATGAACTTGAAAAAAAGTATAAATAAACACTTTTGTGCACATGTGTGTACTGTGACTGTAAAACATTTTAATAATGTTTAATCTGTTAAAACCATTAAAAGGTTTACCAATAGCGCAACGACGGCAAATTATAAAGATTATTTTCAGTTGTTAGGAAATCATTATTGTAAGCTCTTTAGTTGTTAAGGAGCGTTCAAGTATTACGTAACGCAATTACAAATAAACAACTGTTACCTATAGCTATCCAAGCCCAGTTTTCTTGATAAAAGCATTAATAGATTGTTAAAATGTTTTAGGTTTTGCTTGTGTATTTTTGTTCCTCCATTTTTTAACCTAAATATTGTACTACTACAAATTTTAAGTAAAAATGAAATAAAATAAAGTTTAATTACTCCCAATTGTTTTATTTATTTGACTTAAAACTTAAGGCAAAACTCCATAAATAAAGAATAACCAAAGACTCACAGTCCAAACCAAAAGTGCAATAATATAGTGCGAAATAAGGTAGGTACGCAGGAATTTAAAGCAAAAAGCACTAAAGCACATTCAAACTAATAAATAAACACTCGCCTACAAAGCTTCTCTACAAAGAGAACGTTTAATCTCATAGACAAAGGCACAGTGGGGTAAAATAACTGTGTATCGGTTCCTAATTTCAGCAAGTATGGCTTCTTTGAAGTCAGACATGAAAGGAGTACTTGAATTTTCAGGAAGGCAGAACAACAACCCGAACAACAGTGAACGGCAACACTTCAGTACTGAAGTCAAGTAACGGTTTTCGCACAGTGGGGCAAACTAACAAGAAGTACCTCAAAAAGCAAGAACACTATTCGCGAAATTCTAGTTTTGTGGATACTAATCGTTCTTTTTTTTATATTAATAATAATGAATTTTTTGTGGGCTTTTTAACTTAAAAGTTATAACAATAAAACGGGGGAATGGAAAAGATGAACAGAGAAAATAAAAAAATAATGCTACCTCAGGAAGAAATAATGAAAATAAATATATATTTAAATGGCACATTTTTAAATTATACGAGAAACCTCTTGAAATTAAAATTAACAGCTGAAATTTTAACTTAATTTAATATATTATATCGTAGTATTAATTATAAGATACAAATAAATAAAAGAAAAACATTTAGTTTTACTAAACTGGGCACTGGAGCACACTGACAGTAAATAAATTCTGTGAACAACAATAATCAATAAATGTCCAGAAATTCATTGTGTATATATTTTCTTATTTATAAATAGTGCATTTATTTCATTATTAAATACCTAACAATTTTTTTTTTTCAGGGAATCAACAACCGTATGCACTTACACCAATTGTTTTTTCTCTGGACCAGAATACATTGTAACTCAACACTTGATCAAAGATCATAAACATGAATCAACAATTTACTCTTGTGGGTACTGTGACTATAATACAACGAAAAACCTGGGTTTAAAAAGACACATCAGAAAACATCACATTGGTAGGAAAATTACAATAAAAAGTTACTCCTGCATGTACTGTGACTTTACAACCGTGAAATCCCGTAATTTACAATTACACATTCATAACAAGCACAAAGAACAAAATGAATTAGAAAATAAAGTGAAAATAAAAATAAAAACTCACTCGTGTGTGTACTGTGACTTTACATCAGTGGCAAAACATAGGTTGCAAAACCACATCTATAGTAAACATAAAGAACAAAATGAGTTGGAAAAAAAAGTTCAAATAAAAATGGAAACACACTTTTGTTCGTACTGTAACTTTTCAACAGTCGTAAAGCAAAGGTTGCAAAACCACATATATAGGAAACATAAACGAAAAACATATTCTTGTGCATACTGTGACTTTGCAACAGCTAGAAAATATAGCTTAAAAAAACACATTATTAGAAAACATATTGAAGAAGGTACATTAGAAAATAAAGTGACAACAAAATAAAAACCTTATTCTTTATGTACTGTGACTTTTTAAACACTTTTAGTAATGATAAAATGAAAAAAACACATGTAAATTTCAGATTTTCCAATACATTTAAGCATGTTAAAAACTTGTAATCACAGTTTTATGTAAGTTGCGCAAATTTTGTAACTAAACTACATATTTGTATACCTATGATAAAAGGATAAGTTAATAAAATTGAGGTTTAATAAATTACTGTATTTTACTTGTAGATATATGTACCTAGTTTTCCTGCGTTTGTAAGTTTGTAAATCGAATTTGTGTGAGAAGGAATCCCTACAAAAGTTTTTTAGTACTTTTGTTAAAAACTAAATAACTATCAATTTATTTTGTTTCAGTCAATCAACAACCGTATGCACATACGCTGATTGTTTTTTCTCCGGACCAGAAAACGAAGTAACTGAACACTTGCTCAAAGTACATAAACGTCAATCAATAATTTACTCTTGTGTGTACTGTGACTATACCACTACTTATAATCAATCATTGAAAAGGCATATATTTTTAAAACATAAAGAACAAAACAAGGTGGAAAATAGGGTAGAAATAAAAATAAAAACGTACTCTTGTGTGTACTGTGACTATACTACGACGATAAATCTGTGTTTAAAAAATCACATATATCGAAAACATCAAGAACAAAATGAGTTTGATGGAAAAATTACAATAAAAAGTTACTCCTGCATGTACTGTGACTTTACAACAGTGATACCCCGTAATTTACAATTGCACATTCATAACAAACACAAAGAACAAAATGAATTGGAAAATAAAGTGACAATAAAAATAAAAACTCACTCGTGTGTGTACTGTGACTTTACAACAGTTGCAAAACAAAGGTTGCAAAACCACATCTATAGTAAACATAAAGAACAAAATGAGTTGGAAAAAAAAGTTCAAATAAAAATGGAAACTCACTCTTGTTCGTACTGTAACTTTTCAACAGTCGTAAAGCAAAGGTTACAAAACCACATATATACGAAACATAAAGAACGAAAAACATATTCTTGTGCATACTGTGACTTTGCAACACCTACAAAGTATACTTTAAAAATACACAACTCAAGAAAACATATTAATGAAGGTAAATTAAAAAAGTGACAAAAAAATAAAAACCTTATTTTTTATGTACTGTGACTTTTCAAACACTTTTTGCATATAAATCATAAAATGAAAAAAAAACAAATGTAAATTTTAGATTTCCCAATACATTTAAGGATGTTAAAAAATTGTAGTCGCGGTTTCATGTAAGTTGCGCATATTTTGTAACTAAACCACATATATGTATACCTTTAATAAAAGGTTAAGTTAATAAAATTAAGGTGAAATTAATTACTGTATTTTACTTGTAGATATATGTACCTAGTTTTCCTGCGTTTGTTAGTTTGTAAATCAAATTTCAATCAAAGAACAAGGTAAATTAGAAAATAAAGTGACAACAAAATAAAAACCTACTTGTACTGTGACTTTTCAATCACTTTTTGAATATTAATGATTAAAGAAAAAAACAGATGTAAATAAATAAAATTAAGGTTAAATAAATTACTGTATTTTACTTGAAGGTACCCCTATAGTTTTCTTTACAATAATTTGTCATGGTTTTCAATAATAGGTGGATATTTAAGTGTTTAAAAAAATCGACTATCTTTTCAATGAAATAATGTTTACTATAATATGGTTGCATTACCAATAAACACATACTCTTTACTGTGACTTTACAATCATGGAAAATGATTTAAAAAAGGCAGGAGAATAAAAGTTAAAACGTACTTTTGTGTGTACTGTGACTTCACAACAAAGATGAACCCTAACAGAGGCACATATATTTGAAACAAAAGTGACAATAAAGTGCAAACCTACTCTAGTGTGTACTTTGACTTTCAACATTAGTTAAAAAACTCTGCATGAATGAACAAAAAAAGTTAAAAAATAAAGTGACATACACCTTTCTTGATGATAATATAATGAGCGTTTTCATTCTTCTAGACTAACATAGACACCACAGATATGTTGTAAATTTTATACATATAGAATATATAAACTAAGGGTCGTTTACATAATAAGTAATGCTATGATTATACTCTCCCCCTTGGACGTCACGTCATATAAAGAAAGTTTTTTAAAAATAACTTTTTTGAAATATTTTTTTGACACAACCTTTATTGAAAATCAAAGAAATCTTTTGTTGGGGTTTTTCTTATTGCTATGTTTATATTTTAGTATTGAAACTAAATGAGTCATTTTAGATCATATTTATTGCCTAAATGTCTAATTCCCAATAATAATTATTATTAAGATTATATAAATCCGTTAAAATTTTAATTCCCCATTTATAAATAAAAAGCTTTAAAATCAAAATGTCCTGCTAAAGAGCTAAACAAGCTACGTTTTTTCAGAAAAAAATATTGTGGTACAACTGGAGTAGATATAATGGCACTTTGAGGAGCATGCGCAGTGGCGTTCTTTTTGGATGCATGCTGACGTCATATTTAAAGCCTATTGTCATGCGCAATACAAGCAAAGGTTCCTACAGAAACAATAATGTCTTTTGTTGGTTTAAATATTTTTATTACTCTCTTATTAATTATAATTATTTTTAGGAGATTAAGCAATCAAATGAATTTAAAATATTCTAAAACCAAATAAACATAACCTCATAAGTAAAGTATACATTAAAAAAAATAAATTCAAATATGCCTATTTAAGCTTTGAAATGAATTAATATGTAACAATCATATAATAAACAATAATAAAAAACAAATTTGGTTTAATTTTTTGAAAGTCGTCTATGTGGCCTCATAACTAGATATTTTTAATTAAAATTTGAGCACGCCACTGCTTTGAATTAATTTTGTTATTCTATAAAAAATTCAATATTTTGTCCCTTGCATTGTTTGTCTATCTTTGCTTAATTTAAAAACAATAATCTAACAATTCATTTTATTTCAGTAAAACATCAAGCATATGTGGATACAGCGAATGTTTTTTCTCGGGATCAGAATACGAAGTAAGCCAACACATGATCAACGACCATGAATGTAAGCCATCTAATAAAAATAAGAATTTCTCTTGTGTGTACTGTGACTTTACAACAGTGGATAATAAAAAGCTACAATTTCACGTATATAACAAACATAAAGAACAAAATAAGTTGGAAAAGAAAATTGAAGTAAACATAAAAACTTACCCTTGTGTGTACTGTGACTTCACAGCAGTGGAAAGTCATAAACTACAATGCCACATGTATAGAAAACATAAAGAATGAAATAAGTTAAAGAAAAAAGTAGAAATTAAGATAAAAACTTTTTCTTGTGTGTACTGTGACTACACAACAGTTGAGAACCGGTCATTACAAAACCACGTATATAGAAAACATAAAGAACAAAATGAGTTGGAAAATAAAGTACCAATAACAATAAAAACGTACTCTTGTGTGTACTGTGACTACACAGCAGTGGAAAGCCGAAAGATGCAAAGTCATATCTATATTAAACATAAAGAACAAAATGAGTTGGAAAAGAAAGTTCCTATAAACACTTACTCTTGCGTGTACTGTGACTTCACAACAGTTGAACACCGAGTTTTACAAAGCCACATTTATACTCAACACAAAGAACAAAATAATTTGGAAAAGAAAGTTGCAATAAAACTACAAATTCTTTCTTGTATGTACTGTGACTACACAACAGTAAAAACCAAGTGTTTACAAATGCACATTCATAACAAACACAGGGAACAAAATGAATTGGAAAATAGAGTTACAATAAAAATAAAAACGCATTCTTGCGTGTACTGTGACTTTAAAACAGTGGGAAAACAAAGGTTGCAGAACCACATCTATAACAAACATAAAGAACAAAACGAAGTAGAAAACAAGGTTAAAATTAAAGTAAAAACTTACTCTTGTGAGTACTGTGACTATAACACAACATGCGATAAAAAAACATTTCAAAGACACATATTTGCGAAACATAAAGAAGAAAATATGCTGGAAAAGAAAGTAAAAACATACTCTTGTGTGTACTGTGAATATACCACAAGTTATAGTCAAGGATTACAAAAACACATATTTTTAAGACATAAAGAACAAAATGAGTTGGAACAAAAAGTGGAATTAACCATAAAAACTTACTCTTGTGATAACTGTTACTACCATACCGTGCACAAAGCATCTTTTTACAAGCATGCGTGTAAAAATAGTAGTATAGAAATTCCATCCAGTTGCAATCAATAATAAAGGGTGTTTTTAGAGGTATGTAACTTTAAAATTAAATATATAAAAAAGAAAATGAGTTTTAAAAAGAGTTTAAATAAAAATAAAAACTTGTTCGTACTGTAACTATTCAACAAAGGTTGTAAAACCACATATATAGGAAACATAAAGAACTAAAAACATATTCTTGTGCATACTGTGACTTTGCAACAGGTACAAATTATAATTTAAAAAAAACACATTATTAGAAAACATATTGAACAAGGTAAATTGGAATATAAAGTTACAACAAAATAAAAACCTAC